AACACCTAGAACGACACTCAAATACAGTCAGAACTACCTTCAGAAACACAACCAGAACTACCTTCAGAAACACAACCAGAACTACCTTCAGAAACACAACCAGAACTACCTTCAGAAACACAACCAGAACTACATTCAGAAACACAAAAAGAAATACACTCAGGACTCAAGTCAGAACTACAACCAGAACTACAGCCAGAACCACACTCAGAATATCTCAACTTGCAGCATGTTTTAATTGAGATATTAATACCTGACCCGACTATTCTTTAAAAACTGAGCAGAACTCCCCCCTGACATCCCCCCCCACCCCTTTTTTTTTTTTTTTTTTTTGCCGACTCATATTACCCTAATTATTTCAGAATCTGCCTTGTAATCCAGGCTGAGAATCCTACCCAGAACGAATGGGATGTCAGCTTTTATGCAGCTACTTGTAAAGGCATTACAGCGCGTTAAGTCCCGCCTGGATGTGAATTGGTCTCAGCAGTACAGGATTAGAAGCTGCGGGGATTAAACCATCCCAGAGGAAATACAGGAGCAGGGTGGCCGGGGGACTCAGATATAGAATATATATTTCATGATCAACTGACTGCATCAGGAGAGAAGCATTTAAAGGGGACCTATCATGCAAAATGCCCTTTTTGATGCCTTTTATATACAAATATGTGTCCCCGGTGTGTCAGGGAACTCAAAAAGTGTCCGAAAATAAAACCCTCTCTCTTTTCCTCCGTACAGACATCTCTAAAAACGGGGGGAACAACGGAGCTGATCCAGATTTGCGTCCGATATGACGTAATATCTGAAATGTGGGCGGGCTTTACACCCACGGCCCTATCAGAAACGTTGCTATCAGAAACCAGAAACAATGCACAACGTGTTTGGAAGTAATATGGTTTTTGTTTACATTAGCAAGCATCGCTAACACTCAGAGCTAACCTGTACTGGAGAGAGTGTGTGTAAAGAAGCAGGAAATAAAAAGGAACTCACCTTGTGGTAAACCTGAGAGAGAAAAAGCCTTTGAGCTCCATACTGTTTTAGAAATAATCCTTGATGTGGTTTTGGAACATGATGGCGTTTAATCACAGCAGCATTTCGCTGAGTATCTGCCGGTACAATTCTGAGCAGGCATTAGCTCTCCCTCCTCTTTTTTTTTCTTTCAAGCTAAGGACCCAGAATCAGCGTTTCTCTAACAGCTGAAACAGAGGGATATGAGGGATTTCTAAAATGCATGATCTGATTGGTATTTTGAGCAAAACACTTCATAGACATGTTTTTTACTTATTTTTATATATCTGAGACCCATAATATATGCCTAAAAATAGCATAATAGGAGACCTTTAAACCACTAGTCCACTAAGACCGAACTGTGTCAAACCATACTTTAATTTATGTCAATTAAAAGGAATATATAAACAGTGGTGAAATATTACTAAGTACATTTACTAAAGTACTGTACTTAATGGCAAATTTTAGGTACTTGTACTGCAACTCAAGTACCACTAAACGGGACATTTTGTAATTTTTACAATGATACAAGTGAAAGTACACGGCATCAAAATATACTTAAGTACCAAATGTTAAAGTACTCGTTATCCACAGCCACTTTTAGAACAACATATATATATATATATATATATATATTATTACTGGATCATGATCATTGGTTGAAGAAGTACTCAGATCCCTTGCCTAAGTAAAATTAGCAATACAGTATATACATAAAAGTCCTGTCCAAACGTACAGATCAGCTAAATGTACTTTAATTATAAAAAGTAAAAGAAGTAACCAAAACTAAACTATGGCCTCCAAATGTGATGCATTATAATATATGACATAATAGAGTGCCACAGTGACGCGTCATAAATCTATCGATTAGATTTATGATTCAAAATTATAAAAGTAGGGTAGACATGTGGATATTATCCGGCTGAACAAAACGTGATCCGTCTCTTCAATGTGTCTCAACCACAGACCTTATTTCGAGCTGTTTTCCAAAATCCTATGGAGAAATTGCATTGGTTTTTGTCGAAGGAACCAGAAGTGGTAAAATGCTAATTTACTTCCGGGTTTTAGGATGCGTCACTGTGGCACTCTCTTAGATTGTTAATATGGTTGCATCATGCAGCATTTTACTGAGTGTTGATATTGATAATATTGATGTTTCAAACTTTTTGTAACAGTTAGTCCACTAGTACAGCGGTTCCCAACCTTTTTCAACTCAGGGCCCACTTAAGAATCTACATTTTTTTCGCGGCCCACATTCAACCATATACAATACGGAGGCTAAATAAAGTACTTTTTATTTGTATTAGAATAGGAGCTGGCCATCAGTTACAAACAGACATTTTGATCACACAGTTTAGTTGAATACTCGAATCTGATTGGTCGATTCAGAACATGTGACACATTGTTAATCCAGTAGAACAGACCGTTGTCAAGAACTGCAATGACCGTTGCTAAGGAGGATCAAGAAAGAGAAAGGAAAAGAGGTTAAAATAAAAAAAAATCTTAATAATGAAATGTTTCCACACAAATCATAATGTTTTGCAAATTATTTGGCGGCCCACTTGCAATGTCTCCGCGGACCACTAGGGGGCCGCAGGCCACAGGTTGGGAACCGCTGCACTAGTAGATCTTTTAGAGATGCATTATGTTAAAAGTTTGATGCAAAATCTTCATCTGAAAAGCTGTTTAATAAATGTAGTGGAGTAAAAGTAAAAAGTAGCATTTAATTTAAATTAAATTGTACTTAAGTACTTGGTTAATACATTAGTCACTTTCCACCACCGATGTAGAATCATAATTGTTTCTGACGACAAAGAGACACGAATACAGATTTCAGCTCTATGCAATTTTTAACCAGCAAAGTTTATTTATATATAACAACAGTACAAAGTGAATCCTTGGCTTGCAAAATAGGTGTGCTTCATATTTACAATAGGTACACAATAATATCTTATCATAACAAAATCAAAGCAAATAAAAAAACAAAACAAGAGAACAACCTTTTTTTAAATACTTTAAGTTTCTTACAATTTTCACAACACTTTTATAAAACAAGAACAGACAGCCATTATTATTATCATCGTCATCATTGCCATTAATTACTATATTACAGAACTCCAGTGTCTACAAAGGGCTTGTTTACAACGTGTTAAAAATGGAAGGATTTTATACTTGATGATATTTTGAATTGAGAGTAATACAATGATTGGGATTTCAATTCCTCTGTCTGATACCGGAAAGCAAACAAAACAAAAACTGCTGATTAAATGCTTTGTTTTGTAAAAGCAGAAACACCATCTCTCCAGCAAAGTGCACGTAGCATCTTCCATTAGCAATCAGCTGAAATGAGATTACGTTTACGAGCATCTATCTCACACCACCGCCAGTCAAATGGGATTCCACGCTGCAGAAAGAGTAAACAAACTTTCCTCATTTCAAATTGAATTAAAATGAGAAATGAGTTTACAGCATGGATCATTAAGAGCTATATCTAGTAACAAAAAAAATCTCTTTCACAAATAAAAACAAGGTGCTTTCAGCTGCGATGCGAGACGTTGTACAGATGGGAATAAATTCAGTCCGTGTGGATCGATATGGAATACCAGGCAGAACAAAAGCATGAATTAAAACGCATGCAAAATCTCACACAAGATAAAAAGAAAACGTCCTGATATAAATGATCCGTGAGAGGAAAATCAAAGCCACTTTAAAAACAATTTGCGAGCCTCTGATTACGTCTGTCACAATCTGAATACAGCGGAGAGTTGGAAAGACTAATAAACGTACATTTGTTTCATCCCTTGCAAAAAGGAAAAAGGCATTTAGGTCCTGTTTAAAATGATAAAAAGCATTACTCCATACAAGCAATGTGAGGTATGAGGATACATTTCTATTTGCTGAGCTTGGGAAGACACCTTAATCAAAAGAAGGAAGCTTCATGTTAAGTGTTTGCAGACCTACTGTATGGGTGTGTCTATAGAGTGGTGCGGGAATGAGTCAAAATCCTGGAAATGAGTCAGCATTTCTTGTTCCCTCGTAGGAATGTTTTCTGATTGTGTTTCTGGTTGCCTGAAATAAGGTCTGTGGTTAACACAAGCTGAAGAGATTTTAACGTTTTGTTCTACGACATGAAATACGTCAGTAAATACCCCACTGGTGGATTTAAAAAACGTGGTTGCTAACAAGTGTCTAAATGCCGCCTTTAGCTTAGCGGTGGAGACGTGAAGTCATGTGACCGTGCTGTAGTTCCTTTATAGCCCAACATTAGCCACCTTTATCTTAGCGGTGGTGACGTGAAGTCATGTGACCGTGCTGTAGTTCCTTTATAGCCTAACATTAGCCGCCTTTAGCTTAGCGGTGGTGACGTGAAGTCATGTGACCGTACTGCAGTTCCTTTATAGCCCAACATTAGCCACCTTTAGCTTAGCGGTGGTGACGTGAAGTCATGTGACCGTGCTGTAGTTCCTTTATAGCCCAATGTTAGCTTTTTACTTCAGAAATCATCAAGTGGTGTTAATATGTGGAGATTATCCTGCTGAACTCAACGTGTATTTGCCACAGAAATTATTTTCTGACATTAACCAAAATCACATGGAGAAATCCCATTGGTTTTTAGTGAGCGGAACCAGGGAGATGCTGCCTTCAGGGTCCACTAGAAATAAATAAATCCCCGCACCACTCTTTAGGTGTTAATTGGGAGAAGGTGCTTGTTTCAGATGAGGGAACAAATATCAGCTCCTCTTCGCCTCTGCTGCCCCCGCTGGCTGGACTCAGTAACTGCATGTCCAACTACACCTCATCCTACATGCCTCCTCGCCTGTTAGTTTGATGTTTCTTCTTTCCATCTCCTGATCACACTGTGCACACACACACACACACACACACACACACACACACACACACACACACACACACACACACACACACACACACACACACACACACACACACACACACACACACACACACACACACACACACCACACACACACACACACACACACACACACACACACACACCGCCTCAGATCAAAGAGCAGCTTCAAAGCCGGAGCAGGAAACTAGAGCTAAAGGGCTTCTCTCTCTTTCTCAACACTTCCTCTTCAAACAGCTCAGGAGAGCCGAGTGCAGAGCGAGGCGATGTCCGCCGTACCCTCTTCACCTTTTCTACCTTATCTCGCTAAGACGCTTCTCAGCAGAGTTGCCGGATCAGAGGACTAATAAGATCAGGTGGGTATCTAAGGCCACGGAGAAAAGAAGAAGCACCTTGGACCCACTACTGGTGTTGGTCATGCTCTCAACACACACTGTGCAAACCTTTAATACTACCTATTGTTCAAGTACTTGATGTAAACAACAAGCAGACACATATATATCCCGGAAGAAAACGAGTCCAGACGGCGAAATCTACAGTTTGCTGTCATGCAGCTCGCAGGTCAGCCTCTTAGGTTTAAGTCAGCAGACGCAGCATGAAACACTTTTATATTTATCACCTTATGTTTCGTACCTTTAAAAAAAAAAAACTCACTGTATTCCAGTTCTGTATAAGCTCTAACCGGCTCCAACATGACAGCTCTGCTCCCTCTGTAAAGCATAAACCGAATCATGACACATTAGAGGACAATTTGAAACGACGGGATCTTTTGGCACTTGTTTAAACTGAATCTTATTGTCAGTGCGAGGAACATCTCAGCTGGCCAACCGGAGCTGGCAGGACTCGTTGGCACTTGATCAAATCAAAGATGGCCCCTGGATAGCATGCAAATACACAGGAAGTTGATCCCAAAGAGATACAGTCTGTGGTTATGTGAACACACACACTCTGCTCTAGAGAAGTGTGGTTCAGTGTGGATAATGACACAGATTTTTAAACGTTATCAGGTGATGAAATCTGCAGAATGAGTGATAATCAGCCACATAGATGTTTATAAATAGTTCATTTAATTGCTTTAAACACAGACTACTTATAGGAGCAATCGGTGTGTGTAAACAAACGTTCCTGTGGGCTAAAGCTACATGCTAATCACGTTAAATACAGCACTAGGAAGGTAGCGCGTTAGCATGGTGAGCTATAAAGCCCCACAGATCGATACAAAATGACTAATCAACTGAAGAGGTGATCGACCCACTCTGAGGAAGATTTAAATCACCTGGTTGTAATATTGTTTAACTTGATTAAAGTGAATCAATTACTAGACAGCTTTTAGACGACGTTAGCTAGCTAGCCTCTCTGTTTCCAACTGTGTACCGATTATTTAAAAACAGTATTGTTGTCGGTGCTGCCTGTGTTTCGCCAACCAGTGACGTCAGATTGTTAACTACTTTTTAAACAAGTAGTTGTTAGTTTTAGGAAAAGGTAATGGTTTGCGTGTAAATAAGGGCTCTTGTCAAACGAAGTCTTTTTGTTCCATACATCTCCCCCGTTTTTCTTGCTCTTTATGAAAGATGATTGGGTTATATTTACAGCATTCTGCAGGATTAGAGAAACACTACCAGCCCGATTTAAATGAAATTTGTTGGAAGATTGTGGCATGGGCTCAGGAAAAACATAGTACATTTTGGAGCGGATCTCAATCAGTGGGGCGGATACACAACATTGCAAAGAAAAGGAAATTGTTCTGTATTTTCGTAGTACAGAAATAACCACAACAATTGTTTCCTGACCATCAGAAGTCAACTAAATAGATCCTTAAGTCGAAACAGCACCATGGAAAGTCTGCGGAAACGTTGGTACACATTCATAGCCCATCTGAATATAAAAAGGCTGATTACCACTAATAAATAACACCAGTTTAATCCCCTGATAACGCGTTAAACCTGGGGATAATGTTTGGGAAGCGGTCTGACGAATGGACTTCACTCAGCTCAACTGAGCCCCTTTGTGTTTGCAAATAGACGTAAAGACAAACAGAAAAGAAAACATCTGTACATTCACAGACACTGATTGGTAACCGGTACATACACAGATGACCAAAGAAAAAAGAAAGCCTTGGACTCCAGATTGATTCTCCTAAATATGTCCTCTCCTCTGTTCAGGTGCATGCCGGCTGAAGTCCTCCAGAGACTCTGAGATGACGAGCTTCATGTTTCACGATCGGATCGGATTCATGATTCGTGATAAAGAGCGGAGGTTTAGTCCGAGGAAAAGTGAGAGGAGACCCTGATGTCGTCTTCTTTGTCTTTGCACAACAACAGGGTCCTCCTGGGTGGGACTGCAACTGATAATATTCAAATGTACAAGTACAAAAATAAAAATCTGGATGCGACGCGAGATCTGCTCCTCCGGTTCACACTGGAGGATTCATCTAGTCCTCCCCACACACAGACACACACACACAGACAGACACACACGCACACACACACACACACACACGCACACACACAGGAATATTCTTTGAGAAAAATAAAATAAATAGGGGCCATGTTCTCTGCTGACGGTCCTCCAGCTGCAGGGTTTCTGTTTCTCAGTCTGTGGCCCTGAGCGGATCCGTGTGAGGAGGAAATAATATGAGTGTGGATGTGGAGTGTGTTGGGGGTCCTCAGCTCTCCTGAGACATGGCGGCGATCAGCTGCTCCAGCTTGTAGGCCAACTTCTGCTTCCTCGCCTGCTCGTCCTGCTCCAGCGCCGCCGTGATCTGTGGGGGACAGAAAAATAGCGTAAAAATTCAAGCAAAATACATGAGGTCGATGCACCTTGCAACCGAGGGGCCCAAAGTGCCCTTCCCTGGACTTCACCTACAAAATGTGGCTTGGAGAGACAAGTACCAACCAGGGAGACGCTCACAATGACCACAAAGAGACTTTAAGGGACTACAAAAACAGCCCATTGTCTTTGTCAGAGCCATCACATGAAAGAGAGGAACATTGTTACATCAGGGTCTCTGTCTTCGACAACACGGAGCAACATTTGTGTTTAATCCTTCCTCGTTTTATCTTTCCGAGACGCCATCGTGTAAACGCGGCGTTTGTCAAGTCGAGTTGAAAAGGATGAGACAGAATCTGTGTGTCTCGCCTGTCATCTCTGACAGTTTCACACGTGTACAGCCTTCCATATTAAATATGACAACATCCTTTGATATGGATATATGCAGCGGTGGAAAGTAACTGAGTACATTTACTCAAGTCTTGTACTTTGAGGAAGGTCATTCTCATTACACTTACTCTTAATTACAGGACTTGTACCAGAGTATTGGTACAGTGTAGTATTCATACTTCTACTGAAGCAAACTATCTAAATACTATCTGAAGTAATACAAATATTGCATGATTTTTATACAGCTCTCTTCCTAGTGCTCAAAGACACTTTACAAACTAACTAAACATCATTAATTGACCTCTCTTACACAATGTGTACTTTCAATTATTCTGAGGTAATGGATAAATAATAAATGAACACAGGGTAAAAACCGTCGCCCACAATGCGCCATTTATTCCCTAGGAGAAGCACTTTGGATTAATCTAAAGTCATTTTCCTCCACTCGTTCAAGTGCTCTGTGTTCATACGCAAGGTCACTATGAGGCTCAGCAATTTATAAATCATGCATAATATATATAATGTCAGTTTTACAGGCATTTAACGAGCCGTTTTTCATGCCTTTTAACAGTTTTATTGGACGTTTTGGTGTCCTTCAGGTTTTCTGTTCAGTCCTCAGTTATTCTGCAGCGCACGGTGAGTCTCCTTTCATTCACCAAGCTCACCATGAGGCTCAGCAATTTATAATATTGGTCAAATATCTGCATTTAATGAGCCATTCTTTGTGCTTTTAACTATTTTATTTGTCATTTCTTTGTGCCCTTCAGTCGATTAGAAACACATCTAATATTTTTCCTGAGGTTTTCTTTGTTGGTGTTTCAGTTTCCCGGCAGCTCTTTGTGTGCAGCAGAGCCTCCCTTCTGCCTCTCGTCTGCTTAAGTGCTCTTAAAGGCTGGCAGCTACAGCGCTTCCTCCTCCTCCTCCTCATCCTCCTCTTCATCGCAGCAATGTATTATTAATCTGCAGCGCTGTATGCAGGTGCATCTCTCCCCAAATCCATTTAAGTATCCGCAGCTCGGCCCCTTTGTGCAGAGCCGTAAATATGAGGTTTTTAACGCACGGTCTTTGGGACTGATGGGCTGCATGTGTGGAGTAAATGTGTTCTGCTACACGAGGAAGAGTTTGCATCAGACAGCTGAGGCAGCAGAGTGTGAGATTCATGGAGAGCAAAGGGGAGGCTGACTGGATAATGGCTTGAAAAGAGGAGGAAGGTACAGGAAGTAGAGAGCGAGGAAATAAAAAGGAGAGCAACACAAAGGTCAGACTAATGCCTCCCAGAGGATCAGCTGACATTAGAGGCACCACGTCTCCATAAATGCACTCTCTTCCTCCTCCCTCCTTCTTCCTTCTTCCTGTGATCTGACAGTGTGTGTGTGTGTTTCCGCTCAGCAGAGAGCATGCTGGGAGCTTGTAGACATCACTTTCTGCTGCAGATCAGACGCCGCCTTGTTAACGCTCACCTCAGGGAAGTCTGCTGAAGACTCTGATCTGACCTCGCTAACCTCTGCGCGCTGCGTGCGAAACACAGAGGAGGCACAGTACATTTCTGGAGCACAACTTTTCTGCAATCTGCCCGTGATTAGCGTCTGATTTTGGAACGGATGTCAACCATGGGGCGGATTCACCACATTGCAAAAAAAGGCCATTATTGATGAATTCACTTTGAGACGTAACACCCCGTAAATGAAACAACATCTCGGAAAGTCAGCGGAAAGTCCGTCTGATCCGTCTTCTGTGCTCTTTGTGCAAAAACTGGATTAGATAAACAAGTCTTCATCATAGCATTCAAGTTGTTTCCACATTACAACTTAGAGCTCATGAACACACCGTTAACCGCTGGAAGAATGACTTTCTAACTTGGGAAATGGGGCCATCCCAGAAGCACCTGAATGCACCACTCGTCCTGCCAGAGCTCGCTCTAAATTAAAAATGAATAGTTAAATTACAGCTCTAAGTTTCTTTCTCTCTATCAGAATAGGTGTGTGAGATTCAGTTAGTCAGCTGCAGTCTTTAAGGGGATTGAAGTTTCTCTTTTTCTTTTAAATACACAGCAGAACTTTCGGTCCAAACCTTCTCTTGTAAGGACACAGACCTCAGTATTTCCTGCAGAATGCATCATAAAGACACTTGTTCTGTGCGAGTACATGTGTTGCTCACCTCCTCGCTGTACTTGCTGATGTAGGAGTAGATCTCGTTGAGCGCGCTGAGCATGTTGAACTCGTTGGAGTGAAGCCTGGCCTGCTCCGCCAGGTAGGCGTTCATGTCCTGATCGCTGATGGCCGGCAGACGGCTGATGTCAGCGTAGTACCTGACGGAGAAACACAGGAGACACCTTGTTATAGAGACAGCTTTCTAAAGCATCATACCACCTTCAGGAACAATAACTGTCTGCTAACATGACGGCAACATGTATACTGGGGACACTGGAGACATGTCTACACCACTTGTGGAAATGGCCAGTTTTTTACCCAGCACTTTGCATCAGGATAACTTGTTAAAAATGTTCTGAAAATAGCGTGCACAATTAATTGTACACTTTGAGAACAAAAGTGACGCCCACGTTAAGAGGCAGAGATGGCAAAAGTACACACATCCTTTACTCAAGTAGAAGTACAGATATTCGTGTTTAAAAATACTCTGGTGAAAGTAGAAGTACTGACTAAACTTCTTTACTCAAGTAAAAGTAAAGAGGGCTTTGAAATGTACTTCAGTAAAAAGTACCCATAACTAGCAGCTGTTTTAAAGAGTACCTGACCTCCCTTTATATTAATAGAACAATAATGTCATTGTTAGCTAATGAATGTTTCCATGCTGAACAACGGCAACATGACAACGTTTTCATTGGTCCCTCTTCTTTAGAGAAGACCAGGAAATGATGGATACACGGATCGTGTTCAAATCAATAGGCACGCAATGACTCTAAATAATAATGATCACGCCACCAAACACACATTCAAACTAAAGGAGAAGTAGAAAGTACAGGTATTTGTGTTCAACATGTAAGAAGTAGAAAGTACAGGTATTTGTGTTCAACATGTAAGAAGTAGAAAGTACAGGTATTTGTGTTCAAAATGTAAGAAGTAGAAAGTACAGGTATTTGTGTTCAACATGTAAGAAGTAGAAAGTACAGGTATTTGTGTTCAAAATGTAAGAAGTAGAAAGTACAGGTATTTGTGTTCAACATGTAAGAAGTAGAAAGTACAGGTATTTGTGTTCAACATGTAAGAAGTAGAAAGTACAGGTATTTGTGTTCAACATGTAAGAAGTAGAAAGTACAGGTATTTGTGTTCAACATGTAAGAAGTAGAAAGTACAGGTATTTGTGTTCAAAATGTAAGAAGTAGAAAGTACAGGTATTTGTGTTCAACATGTAAGAAGTAGAAAGTACAGGTATTTGTGTTCAAAATGTAAGAAGTAGAAAGTACAGGTATTTGTGTTCAACATGTAAGAAGTAGAAAGTACAGGTATTTGGGTTCAACATGTAAGAAGTAGAAAGTACAGGTATTTGTGTTCAAAATGTAAGAAGTCAAAGTAAAAAGTGGTCAGAAAGATAAGTAGTGGAGTAAAGTACTGATACCAGAAACATGTACTTAAGTACAGTAAGGAAGTATTTGTACTCCACTACTCTCCAGCAGCATGTGATGGCTCCTACCTCTCCACCCAGCTCTTGTAGTTGGGGATGTCTTTAGCGTAGAGCAGCTTGTTGGACGGAGAGTCCTTCCCCAGCCGGTGCTCCGACGTGGAGCAGGAGTCCATGAAGGTCTGAGCGACGACCGACAGACAGGCGTCCGTGATGCTGCTCTTATGGATGTCGAACACAAACTGAGGGTTCTTTATCACGTTCACCCAGAAGCGCAGAGGAAGGCTGGAGGAGGAAGAGGAAGAGTCATGAGCTTTATCAATCTCTAATCTGTGCTGTTCATTCTCACCCTGTTGCTGTTAAACAACACGGGGATTAATAAAGGTTGATCTTTTCTTAATATCTTGGTTTCCTGAGTTTTTTAAAAGCAGCTCACCAGTTGCTTTTCCACGTGTGCCGCACGTCCTGGTCGTGGATGCCGTGTTTGTCCGCCTGCTCGTCCAGGAAGTCGAACATGTATTTGATGGCGAGAGGAAGAGAGGAGCCTCGGTGCACGGTGCTGAACAACGTCTCGAACAGGTCGTCCACGAACTTCTGCAGCGTGCCCTGAAGAAGAGGAGGAGGAGAGATGAAGGTTATTCAACTGCTGTGTAATAACACTCTCTTTTGCAATTTATAAAAGTCTATTTGTTCACTGTCTTTTCAAAGTCAAAGTCAACTTTATTGTGTGTACAGACAGAGAGATCGAAATACTGCTTCCCACAATCCAGAATACAAAAACAAAATATGTATATACCTATATATACACAATCAACAGACACATGTATACAGTACATATGCACACATTAAGACATAAATCCAAGCACAACAATCAATATATACAAAATAACAGTCGATATCTTTGAAAAATGTACATTAGTGCGAGACTGTCCATCGCAGCGTAAAAGGTTTGAGATTCTACTTATGTTTTCTACGTTGGATGTATACTAAATAGACTTGTTTATGACATTATTAACGTGTGTTTGCCTCTTCATTGATATGTCAGTATTTATTTTTGTGCACTGTGTTTCTTTGGTGTAATAATTGAAGTCCCCCCGCTGTGGGACCGATTACATATACATACATATACATTAGTATCTTTATTCATACTTATACAGCACTGTTTGCATTGTAATTTAAGACATTTTAACATATTTATTGTTGTTATATATTGTAGTACAATGTGCATATACATATTTACATTTTTTATTCTCTTATTGTCAATTTTTTCTATAAGTTCTTATGTTTATAAAAACATTTATTTTTCATTTTTCTCTTCCTAAAATGGAGCAACTGTCACCAAACCTTATTTCCCCTCAGAACAAATTAAATATTCTTACTCTGATCCGACGCTGTAACTTTTATGCATATGAAAAAAAAGCTTTGAATGTTGAATCTTTAAAAACTAAGGATGAATAAGCATGTACTAATGTTCATTGATTGATTAACTCTGCCTTTTTGTCGTTTTATTTCAGTGTTTGTTCGTTGTGTGCTTTTATTTACATGTACAGTATATAGACTTCTTGCACTATTTTTGTATTCAATGATATACGTTGCATTGTTGGAGGAGCTCAGGTCAGAAGAATTTCATTGCCATTTCTACACTGTAGCTTGTGTGCAAATGACAATAAAACCTTTGAATTGGAATCATGCTTGTCAGATGTTGTACCTTGGTGGCTAGCAGCCGGGTCAGATATATCTCGGACACCATCTTGCTGCCGCGTTCTCCCTCCTTCTGGTCTCCGTGCTCGTGGTTCTTCACCAGATGCCAGACCTTCACCCCGCTCTCCAGGTCCGGCGTGATCATCGGGGCCCGAGAGCGCAGGCTGTCCGGACTCCCCGTGTACCGGAAAGACGAGTCTGTCCGGGAGAGAGGAGGAGAATTCATCATTAATAAGAGACACGAAAAACCCTCAAAAACACATTAAGCGACTACAATATGACTTCAAAAGAGTACAAGACACAAAATGGCTGCCAAGAGACACAAAATGTCCATAAAAACACAAAGAGAGTCAGAAAAAGATCAGCATTTTGTACACGCACACGCACACACACACACACACACACACACACACACACACACACACACACACACACACACACACACACACACACACACACACACACACACACACACACACACGCACACTCATTTCGTGTGACAATTAAAGAGGGCTTCATCCTCCAATTCCATCTTCTTTTAAAGTTATCCAGAATTTCGACAGTCCAGTTATTCATTTAATCAGCCTCAGCAGACACAACATCTTCCCCCTCCCACTGTAAAGGAAATTGCATTTGTGTGTAATTTCATAGAAGTAATGAAAGGGAGGGGATTGCATTGATTACCAGTGACCCTCTGCATGACACACGAGAAATATCCAGCCATTTATCTTTTAAATACAACCTGCAGGACAGAGCTTTTTTACTAAATGCTTCATAGTTATTCTCCATTTCTCCCTCTGTCATGAATAATATTTCCACTCATTCACCCCCCCCCTCTCTGTATCCCCTCCTCACTCTCAAAACACTCATAATTGTCTCTTCTTCCCGCCACATGATGAACACGTCCCTCTCACATTTTAATCAATGCATCAGAAGAAGCAGAGGTGGGAAGTAGTGGAGTACAAATACTGTGTTTCTGTACTTAAGTACATGTTTCTGGTATCAGTACTTTACTCCACTACTTATTTTATGACTTTTTACTTTTACTTCTTACATTTTGAACACAAATACCTGTACTTTCTACTTCTCTCATTTTCCAAACAGGCTGGTTCCTTTAGTTTGAATGTGTGTTTGGTGGCGTGATCATTATTATTTAGAGTCATTGCGTGCCTATTGATTTGAACACGATCCGTGTATCCATCATTTCCTGGTCTTCTCTAAAGAAGAGGGACCAATGAAAACGTTGTCATGTTGCCGTTGTTCAGCATGGAAACATTCATTAGCTAACAATGACATTATTGTTCTATTAATATAAAGGGAGGTCAGGTACTCTTTAAAACAGCTGCTAGTTATGGGTACTTTCTACTTAAAGGGGACCTATCATGCAAAATGCACTTTTGTACGTCTTGTATACATGAATATGTGTCCCCGGTGTTCCAGGGAACTCACCAAGTGTCAGAAAACACAACCCTCTCTATTTTCCTCCATACCCAAATCTCTAAAAAAGGGGCTGCAACGGATCTGATAAAAACTGATCCAGATTTGAACACTGTCCTGACGTCAGGACTGTGGCGCTACGGCTATTGGGCCAACTCCACCAATCAGGAGGAGACAGCCACGGCCATTGCCGTTCGAAAGCGCTGGAGACGCTGTAGTACATATGCCAGGCCTGTAGATGGTGCTGTTCTCACTGAATCTGCCCTTGCTAAAACAGAGCTAAAAAATGTCAAATTGAGCAAAATGAGGCATGGCTAAAATGCATGATCTGTTTGGTATTTTGAAGAAAAAAAAGTATAAATATGCCTTATATAGGTATGGTCCTACACTATATTATTAAAATATAGCATGATAGGTCCACTTTAAGTTACATTTCAAAGCCCTCTTTACTTTTACTTGAGTAAAGAAGTTTAGTCAGTACTTCTACTTTCACCAGAGTATTTATAAACACGAGTATCTGTACTTCTACTTGAGGAAAGGATGTGTGTACTTTTGCCATCTATGATCAGAAGATGTGTTGAGCATCACACATCCTGCTTCTCTTCACTCAGTCTGAACGAGTCTCTAATTATCCTCCGTCTTCTCCCAGCAGCGAGGATCTGAACGAGGATCTGAACGAGGATCTGAACGAGGATCTGAACGAGGATCTGAGCGAGGATCTGAGCGAGGATCTGAACGAGGATCCGTCTCCGACCCGGCTTCAAAGAACGAGGCGAGCAACAAAGCCTCTCGCTGCCGAACAGACCCTGCACACCTTTCAGATGAGACGACCTGCGCCTCTGGAGGAGGGGCTTATGTGCTGAGCTCGGTTCAGCTCCCAAATCCCATCGTAATCCAGTCACTGCTTTTTACTGCCCGTATATTTCCTCTTCCCTTCCTTTCCTCCTGCCTTTTCCTACCTCCCCTCGCTCTGAGATTAACCTGCAGCCCGAGGTGGAGGAAGTATTCAGAGCCTTTACTGAAGTGAAAGTAGATCAGAAGTACTCTAAATAATACTCTGTTACAAGTTAAAGTCCTGAATTGGAAATGTTACCAAAGTAGAAGTAAGTATAATCAACAAAATGCAGAAAAACTATTAAACAACAAAGTACCCCATGCAGAGGGAGAACCTCCCCCTGAGGGAACACAGGGATTTCAGTCTTTGCAGACCATTTACATGCACACAAACGATAACATATTCTGTACAGAGAGGGAAAACCCCAAAAGTATAATTGGGCCTCTTTAAAGCCACCAGAGACTGCAGATGAAAATGTGCAATAACGGCTAAATCTGGCTCATTCACAAGATGGACTCAGGTGTTATGAGTGCATTATCACACACACACACACACACACACACACACACACACACACACACACACACACACACACACACACACACACACACACACACACACACACACACACACACACACACACCACACACACACACACACACACACACACACACACACACACACACACACACACACACACACACACACACACACAGTGTCCACAGGTATCAATTTCTGGATATAATTGCTTTGAGGCAAGAGGACGCCGTTAGCTCTTTTTCTGGCTGCTAGACAGTTTGAAGGCAGCGCTCACTTCCTATCACTAATCCTGATAATTGGACATGCTCACTTATCTTTTTCTGTTTGTGTGAAGTACCATTCACACAGAATCATTTGCCTTCACAAGCCGCCTGCCGCTGTGTGTGTGTGTGTGTGTGTGTGTGTCTGGCATAAGACCACATTTAGCACAAAATACAAGCACATCTGAGGTGTGTGTGTGTGTGTGTGTGTGTGTGTGTGTGTGTGTGTGTGTGTGTGTGTGTGTGTGTGTCTGGCATAAGACCACATTTAGCACAAAATACAAGCACATCTGAGGTGTGTGTGTGTGTGTGTGTGTGTGTGTGTGTGTGTGTGTGTGTTTGCATGTACGTAGCTGCATGTACAGTACAGTATCAAAAACTCGAAATAAATAAGTATATTTGTCTCGGATCTAGTCAGAATATGTCTTTACTCCTGATATAAGACATAATAACATCCGAAGTAACACTGCAGTGAGATATCAGGTCTTGTTTTTAGACAATGCATCATCTTATTAAGTCAAACAATCTTATTCTGAGTTGTATCTCAGATGAAACACATATTTTTTTACATATTTCTTATAAAATCACCAACTAACATCAGAAAACAGAAACCTTTGAGCATTCACGGCTTATATTATAACACAACATCTCCTGATTCTGGTGAAATCTCCAGCTAATTACAAGATCTGATTTATCTAAACATCCCTTCTTATTTCAAGACATCTTACCAAGCAAACTTTCACTTGTTCTATTGGCAGATTTTGTACTCATTTCAAGTGAAAACACCTCCTTTTCATTATTTTCGACTTGTTTTTGGAGCAGCATTTTTTCCAGCACTAGTAGCCCAATGATGCATCACTATAACAGTAATGTGACGCCTCTAAAATCAAACAATAGATATTTCTCTCCCTCTCTACTCTTTCCATTATTCTTCCATCCAGCAGAGTTTTGGATCCGAGCTGAAAAGCAGAATGCAGCGCACACAGTTGGAGAGAGAAAAAGGATGCGAAGAAAGCGTGTGCAGAAACAGAGCTGAGCGCGGCTTCAGGGATTTGGCTTTGTTCATCACTGAAACAACCAATATATAAAACATTTCTGTCTCTGAGGCAACATGAATACATTTGCATGGGATTAGCTGTTGATTAATAAGCCTGCAAATACACCCATAATCGCCTCGTGTATGCTAATCAATTGCTGTGTTTCCATTTAATTGCATTTCAAAATCTAATCATGCACGGGTTTGGAGGGAACACAACTCCGATCCAGAGGAGTTTTAATCAGAAGTTGGCTCTATAGGCTACATGTGGCTGTAATCCTTCATTACATAGAGCAGAGGAGAAACATGAAGAGAGCTCTGAAGCAGCTTCAGTTGTTCTGACTCAGCCCATAGCATCGTTTTATCTCCAGAAAAGTAGGCGAGCATTTGCACAAACAGACGAGTAAAATGTGATTTATGTCGACATTTTGCACGCAAAAGCATTTCCGTCTGCCTTCTACCCTTTTGGTGCCGTTTTAGGTTTTTCTAATGCAACACTCTAATCAGAACCGGTGGGTCCATTTGAATGTCTTGTAAAATGTGAATTAGGCGATTTATCAACTGGTTTGGAGCCAAGAAAGCTTGAATAAGAGCAGTTGTTACGTCACGTCAGATTGCATTTGTATTATGCTTTCCAGAAAAGTGTGACGGAGGATGTTCGGTACGTCAGATTTTATTCTGCAAAGGCATTTTTGTAATCCAATTAGCAATTTATTCCAAAAAACGCAAAACCAAAATCAACCTTTTAAATATCCTAATTCTGGGAATTGAAAAGAAAAGTGTTTTAAAGGTCAAAGATGGGTTCAGGTAACAGTAAAACAGGGACATGTGTTGTCTGGGGATTCAACATGATTGAAAGAGAAGGATGAAAGGAATATAAAAAGGTTCGAAAAACGATAATTTCACAGGAAGACTAGGGGTCGAGGAATGAGAGAACTTGGTGAGGGGTATTGTTAAACATCTGGAACAAACTCCCAGAAACCTGCAGGTCCGCTGCAACTCTGACTACTTTTAAATCCAGGCTGAAGACTTTTCTTAATTGAACTATTCACATCTCACACTGCTCTGTAACTTTTATTCATGTTTTATTATGTTTGCTTTTTGATGTTTCTTAATGCTCTTAATGTCTTTCATCTTTGTAAAGCACTTTGAATTGCCTTGTGTTGAAAAGTGCTGTATAAATAAACTTGCCTTGCCTTTAATGATGCCATTTGTAATGCAACACCTCAAAATGTGCATTAAAAGTTGCGTAATGAAAGGAGCATTGGGACTCACCGTATCTGCTGATGGAGGAGCGAGAGATGCTGGCGGAGGAGGGGATGTTGTAGGAGGACGTCTGTTTGGGAACCAGAGCCACGACACAGCGGTCTGACACCTGAGGGGGAAACAAACATCACATTAACCTGCTGGAATATTGTGTGTGTGTGTTCCCGAATAACCGTCTAGATTCTGTATGAGTTAGGGAAGACACTGGAGAGAGGAGCTGAGATCGAGGTGTTACTTTGCAAAGTCTTAACCTGTTAAGCCCTGAGCCTGTTTTTCAGGTCTCAGGCTCGAAAATGACATTCCCAGAACAAATGACCATATCTTCCCTTCTAAAAGGGTTAAATTAATAATCTTTTTTCTCAAAGTAATGATAAACCTGTGAGTTGGATGTAGAAAAGTCAGAATCAATATAGATGTTTTTTATTTTAAAGAAAATTCAGATTTTACATAGTAAAAAACTGTAAATTATAGTGTCCGTCCAAAAACTATTTTTTACTTATAGTGAAAACCACCCTTGGATGATGGGTTAGTAGACTAAAACCTTTAGGAATCCAAAGTACAACATATAATAGGTACCCTGTATCAAGATTGATGCAAAACAAGTGACATTTGACCTTTTTAGAGAGATTTAGCAAAAAGAAACCACTTCTGGGGTCATTTGGGTGGATTTTCCATATCTCTGGCCCCCCTTGGTCGATTTTGATGGTTGACACCTCTTTCTGACCGTTAGAGCCAATAGAATCGAAGGGGGAGTCCCCACACACACACACGTTGTGAAGAGAAGATGTGGGGGCTTCGCGCATGTAATTTTCAATCAGAGTGAACCTATCTCTAGCTTTGACATTTGGAAACGGAAAAGCAGTTTTAATGCTTATGGATTATCAGAAATCATTTCAAAGGGACACAGACACATGAGATTAACCTATGGATTAACTTCAGCAGCGTTTTTATCGTTTTAATGCCATTGAAGACCACTTTGGAGAGACTACAGAGCCAAGGTAAAAATGTTAGCATTTTTAGCTACCTAGCGTCACCTGTTTTGATGTGCGTTTTTGCTTATAACATCGCGAATACGTATAATTCAGTGGTAATGTCGGTGTCAATAGATTCTGTGTCACCTCACGATGTGAATCGATGTGCTGGATGTGGTGAAAATATAAATAATAAGGTTTTGTGAGTGATTTTCGGTGCAGTAATCTGTTAGCATTTTTCGCTCGTTGCTAATTCAGAGGCTCAGTGTTAGCATTGTGGGTTTTCTGTTGAAAAAAAAAAAAAAAAAGATCAGTTAGATGAGTTTCTTCCCGTTACATGGATATAAAACATTCATAGTTTATTAAATGAACATGCCCTCAGACACTGTTTCCTGCAAGATGTTGCGGCAGTACCCCGGTACCGGGGTCTCTCAGGCTTAACAGGTTAAACTGTCACAGATTTGACATACTACAGTACCAGAGCCCGTGGCCGTTAGTGTGCAGGTGTGGGAGGCGTGTGGTGCAGTGTGTTGTGCGTTGGTGTTCGGAGCAGGGGGTCACAGGTTCAAACCCCACTGCAGTCAGCATGTCGTTGTGTCCCTGAGACACTTCACCCCAAATTGCTCCTGTGGGGATTGTCCACAGTATTGAGTATGTAAGTCGCTTTGGATAAAAGCGTCTAACAAGTGACATGTAGTGTGTGTTGCAGGTCCTGTGATGGGGGTGGAGCTGAGGAGGCCAATCAGCATGACTGGGGACACCTGGCCGGAGTCCCAGGTTTCTACTGAAGCCCAGCTGCTCGGAGTCACAGGGCCTTCACCACTCTCTCCAAGACTGCTGTGGGGAAACTCTCGCCGGGATCCTTTGCCCTCACCCATCCTCTCATCATTTGTGTTGTTTTTGGTGTGGCCACAATAAATGTTGTCTCGAACGTCTCGCTCTCTTTCCGTCGTGGCCTACGAGCCGGTCATAACAATACATCATCTTTTCCTGCTAGCCGGCTTTAGCGTGATTAGCTGTCCTCGGTGTAAACAAGGGGGTTGCTGAACAACAGTGGCAACTTAACAGCAACAACATCTCTCCACAAGAGACGGCACAGCTAAATAACTCACTTCAAACAACAAAACTAAAACAAGTAAGATCATATAAGAAAGTTGGAAATAGTTCAAATCCATCAGGAGCAGCTGCAATAGGCTGCATGCTATCATACTATGTAATCCCCTGTATCTGTGTTTATTCTGTTCACACGTTTAGTTACAGTGAAGTGTAGACTACAGGCCCTCAGTGAATAATCCCAGAAGCAGAACACATCCCTCCTGCTGCTCTCTCACGCCGACCCGTGGCGCTCCCTCTGCAGAAACAGCTCATCTCAACATGACTGTCATTGTCTCCCCTTCACAAACACACAGGCATGATGTCAGCTCTGCAGCCGGGGTGAGATGCAAAAGGAGGAGGGAGGGAGGGACTGTCTTATATTGTGTAGAGAAGTTGGTGTACGCAGGTATAAGAATAGCATAAAACGGGTAATAAAGGACATTGATAAGGCTTCACAAACAGCTTGAAGACTCTTTCATAACAGAACTCTTCATCAGCGTTCAGGTTCACGGCTTCCAGTGTCATGTGAGCTACAGTGTAGTTATGACAATGGCTCCTCCAGCAGAGCAACACAATAACACAGATACAACAGTGCAAGTAAATAGAATATAATATAAATTGTGCAGAATAGTCTATCTACAAGTCATTGGAATATTGATATATATCAGTTGCAAATTGTTAATTAATCACAAAATGACTCTTTTAAACGGTCTGTTAGTGCAGCTTGACATGTTTAGAAGAAACACAACTTATGGTTTCTTTTTTGGAAAGCCCAAAAACAACCAGCAGCTTGTTGGCTGGCGTTTCCACCCCCACCCCCCGAGGAGGAGGAGGAGGGACCCTGCTTCAGACCCAGAGAGGAGGAGAAACGATCCAGCGGAGAAACAAACACGAGGCAAACGCCAAGCACTGATAGGAATACCTCAAAGAATCTGCAGAAAATACCTTCCTCCTCCTTCATCCTCCTCATCTTCCTCCTCCTCAGAGTCAGTTTTATAACCAGGTAGATTGAGGTATTTTAAGAAAACCATGATAACATAAAAAAATATTAAAAATAATAAAGAATATAGTGAAATACAGCAGAATCTACATAGAAATAGAATAAAATAGAATGGAAATATGGACCCCTTTCCTCATCCTCCACCTCCCACTCTTCCTCCTTCATCCTCACCCCTTTCCTCCCACTCCTCCCAAACTGATCTGGCGTCTGTTATTAGTTGCCATCTGGCCTCTGCTGGCACTTGAAGGCTTGAAACCCAGGATGAAATCTGGAGGAATCCTCTCAGAGACGCAGCTCCGGCTCTTGGAGGGAAATGAAAAATGATCTCCCTTCCCCTCCACCTTCCACTCCACTTTCCCCTCCACCTTCCACTCCACCTTCCACTCCACCTTCCACTCCACCTTCCACTCCACCTTCCACTCCACCAACCACGACTAACATCCTCGCCCCTTCTCTCTCCCTCTTCCTTCCCTAAACCTGATTTCTCCGGCCTCTCCATCCTGTATTCTGCTCCACGCTGACGATGCACTCTTACATATGAACAACGTTTTCCAGTCATGCATTTCCCCATGAAATAGCTTCTCTATCTCCCCCCTCCTCCCCCCCCCCCCCCCCATCTCCATCCTTTTCTCTGTGCTTCTTCACGGCTGACAGCAGAGATGGTCCTTGTGATAGAGTGAATGATTGAAGGCGTGCAGATTCGCCCTTCAGGGATAATCCAGTGTGAGTCTGATAGTGGGCAGGTGTGATAAGGCTGCTGATAACACCTCCATTAGACGGACAGCAGAGTGGTCTTCCTCTCTCTTCCTCTCTCTTCCCTCTCTGTGCCCTCCGATGCTTATCCAACCAGCTCGGTCACACACATCCTGAGCATGAGGCGACTCCCGTACAGAACATATAACTCAAAAGGGTCAAAGGGGACGTTTTCTTAAGTTGAATCAGTGAAATGTGGAAGTTAGGAAGCAGTGTGAGTTCTTACAATCAGCCTTTACAAATCAAATTCAATCAATCATTCTTTATAGCTCAAAATCACCCATTACTATTCTCAGGGGGCTCCACCGTGTAGCATACAACACACTCTGGAAAAGCTTCCAAGAGACCCCACAATTAACGGGGAGAAAATGCCGGAGAAACATGCACCATGTGTGGTGTGTATAGATCAGGGGTGTCAAACTCAAGGCCCGGGGGCCAAATCCGGCCCGCGACTTCATTTTATGCGGCCCCACAAGAGCTCTGAAAGAATAAAATATGTTTATTATACGGTTACATGGCGAGTTACAGAAGCACGTTGCCCATACATGGAGCACAGTGCATCTCAAATTTGACTTTTTGCTCAGAATTTGACATTTTATTTTTTAAATGTAACTTTTTTTTCAAAATGTCACCTTTTTTTGATTTTTCCATAATTTGTCTTTTCTTTTAAATCATTTTGTGACATTCTCACTGAAGAGACTTGCAATTATTCGCCCTAGACTTCTGCTTTCAGACGTAGTTATTTATGAAGTTATTACCCTATCAGATAATAATCCAATGCAGAGGCAATCATGTAATATAATACATTATTTTATATATATTAAATGTTTATATATGTATTTTTAGATAGTCTAAAAGTTACAACCGGCCCTTTGAGTGCAACCATAATGCTGATGTGGCCCGTGATGAAATTGAGTTTGACATAAACTGTTTTGAGCCACAGGTGAGAAAGAGAAAATCTGCATGAGGTTAATTTGAGTAAAACGTCCATTAAGAAATGCAACTCTGGGTCCAGCAGCGGCAGCATATGTCTCTCCAAAAGTTCTCCTCCTAAAAGCCTCCCACCTGTCGAGCCCAAACTGAGTCGAGGAACTGATAGCGTGTCGTGCTATCTATTTAGTCTGGGGCTGTTGAAAATAGCCCAAAATGCCCCGAGAGACGTCTGGAAACAGGATCGGTCTGAGGCAGCGGAGGACACTCAGAGGGCAGCGGAAAGTTTCCTGACTCACATCTTATTTAGACACAGTCTGCCCTTTACTGCCCATTAGGGACACTTCTTCCACACCGTCT